GTGTGATATTCTTTACTTACAATCTGTACTGTTTATAATGATTGTTATTGTATAACAGCCTGAGATTTTCAATAAAAGGCAAAAGAAAAGATAAAAGGAATACTAGTCAAATTGATAATGCTTCATCTAATAAATTTAAATAATATTACTACATTGACTTTGTTACAAAATAAACCAAATAATAATCATTTTTAAAATTCTTTTAAAATTGGTACTTGTATGCTCTATTCAAATAAGAGTAATGCAAATCCACATTAGGTATTGTAGGACAAAACAAGTAACTTCAGCTTTTCAAAAATACTTATTTTTTTATATACTTAAAACAGAATGATGCCCCCCCCCCAAAAAAAAACGGTGTCAAAAACACAAAAAAAAAAAAATCCTTTTGACACCACCATTGCTTTATACTTCCCTGGTAATTTTAAGAAAACCCAAATCTATGAAAAGGGATTTCAGCATTCTCTTTTTTCTCAAAAATTGGCAACCAAAGTATTAAACACTATTATTGTAAATAAACATTCTGATACTAATAGTGTTTATAATTTTTTTTTTTCAAGTCAAGAAAAAAAAAAAAAATGTGTAAATCCAGATGTTTGCAATCTATTTTAGTGAATTGTTATGAGAGCAAATAAAAGAAATGGCTGGAAAATGCATTTATTTTAAATTTATAATTACTCAACATTATGTTTATTTCAATTTTCTTGTTTTCTGGTTCAGACATTTTTATGAATTTATAAATAAAATTTGTTTTCATAGTTATTGCTATATACTATGGTCAATAATAAATATTGCATTGTAGTTGGTTCACATATTTTTATAAACTTGTAAATAAACAATTTAATAAATAGCGTTTAATTCTTTTGTTGTCAATTCAAGAAAAAAAGAGTATGCATACATCCAATTTCATATGTTTGGGTTTTATTAAAATTCTAAAAATGTCTTTTTAAATCAATAAAAAACTGTCCTTGGAATATACAGTAATAATGGTTTCACGAGAAAAGCCATCCTTTTGATTTACCATTTTTTACAGGTACATATGTTAAACTTTGCTGATTATTTTTTGTAAATTCTATTATTACTATATTTGATGGCCTATAAGACTACCCCACTGCCATCAGCAGAAAATGTTAAGAAAGAAAATTGTAGGATAGGTAATTTTTTCTTTTTGTATATTTAATATAAATTTATGGAATTCTGATATTTGGGGTGGGGTTACATATTATCAAATACAGTAGATATTATCCAGTTGTGTCAATGTTGGTTCCAATTGATATGGAATGACTGTTAAAAACATCTCTCTCCCCAAATTTATAGACAAATCCTAACAGATGCATGCTGGGATTTCTTCCTAACCAATAAAATGAACCAATTCTCAGTCTCATCTGACATATTTTTTTGTTCTTTCTTGTCTTGAAGTCAGAACACTACAATCACTTGACTGTATCCCTTTTGCATGTGAACACCATAGTTACTTTAAATTTGTGTTATTACTGTTGCTTTGCCTAATTTTGATTTGCATATATATTGTTTGAATAGTATTATTTTGCTCTGTTCTTTCCTTCCTTATTGTTTATTGAATATTTTTTCAATTACACTAAGGCATGACCAATTACTCCACAGTCAATCATGAAGAGAAGAAATATAATGAATTAAAATTAAGTTTTCAATATTCATCCTTCCTCTTTTATCTCATCAATGTAGTTTTTTATGATTCTTGTACAAGCACAATACCTACACAGAGAACAAGAAATCTTTCATTTTTTTCTTTTCTGTGTATATAAAAAACATCTTTTTTATTGACATCTATAGGCCAAGAATAGAGAAATGGAGATTATCTACAGGTTAAATAGTATCACTGGAAAGCATGTATTTCTCACAGCAATGTGCAGAGGGCAAACTGAAGGCAAAGTGAAAATTTCAAAAAGGCAGTCAGTACATAATTAACATCATTTAGTACTTAACAGATAAAGTAGCAAAATCAATAACATCCTTTGGTGCTGAATGTGTTAACAGCATTTGGCAATTATAAAGAAGGCTGAAAAGGTCTTGGTCAACCAAGAAACAATTCCAAGAAAAAAACAAAAAAACAATTTTTGATGTTTGGTCAGATGTTGGAGAATGAGTTAAGCTGAGAATTTTTCAACATTCTTTTGTATAAGTGTTTTTTTACAGTTAAAATTTTGAAAAATATTTTTTATCCTTTTTGAGCTATATATGCCATTAGAGAGAGTACAGTAACAAATTATTTAGATTTTTTTTAGCAAACTGAACTAAAAAAAATGTTTTATGAAAAATAGCACAAGGAAATGGTTACTCACAATCAGAAAGAAACAATTGAAATTTCTGGAACACATAATGAGAGCCTAGAGAATTTAACACTCACAGGACATACTGAAAGCAAGAGAAATGGGAGAAAGAATAAATAACCTATTTAACAGGTTTGATTCAATGTATGGCAAAGCAAAACTAAAAAGGGATGGTAAAAAGGTTAAAAGTTATTTAGTACAGTGCAAGACAGGAAGTTGTGGACAGCCTTGACTGTCCACATCCAGACATGGCACAGAAATATGTTTTGGCACATTAAGTTCTGTCAGCCTAAGAACGAAATAAATATTGTGGCATCTTAAATATAAGAGGAATTTTATTTTTGTTGTAAAGATAGTTTATTTATAGAGATTTGCCAAACACACATGCAAAAAAAATGGTTTTAACAAAATAACAATTGAATAAAGATATTAACAGCTGTTTCAATTAAAATTACAAGGTTTTCCCAGTAATCATAATTGACTAGCAGATTAAAAGAAATGGGTCTCTAAATCAATACTTACTAGAGAAGTGAACTTTATGATATTGACCTTTACAAAGCAACAATGCAAACTAGGGATTAAGTGTCTTTGGTGTAAATGCTTAAGATGGACATGCAGTAGCCAATTGTCATCAAACGACAATCACAGAAGAACAGTAACTATTACACTTTAAGTCTCTCCTTATCACCATTAACTGTCCACTGTTCATCTTCCCAACCAAACATTCATTGCCCAACACCAGTCACTACCTAATATCACTTAAGATAACAATCCAGAATCTAGAGACAGAACAATAGGAAAAACATTACTATTTTAAAGGTGAGTATTTGCCTCAAGTTGTTTATCTTTGACAACTGTCTATACAATCAAGACAACATTTCTATTGTTGAATCTAGTCATTAGCAAATAATGTTATCTATTTATACACTTGATTCAGTGATAGGGTAACAAGTCAGTGGCTCAGGAATTGAATATCTTATTCTGGTGCCAGGTTAGTGAAGCTATTTATTAAAAATTATTCTGAAGAAATAAAAATTCTCATTTCAAATCTTAAAAATCATACTTGTAAAATTGAATTCATAAGACAATATTGATTTTCACTGGCTCTTTTCATTCAATGATAAGCAGGAGATAAGTGACCAACAAGCTGAAGCTACAAAATATAATGGATCATTATATCCAAGAAATATAGCTTAGTATTAAAAGATTGAACTGTACACTTTAAAAGATCTGAAATTTCAACATAAATCAAGAATGTTCACTTCATTTAAGAAAACAGAAGCTTGAGCTAAAAATTCAGCATAAGGCAATATTAAATCATAAAGAAAAAGAGGAGAAAAGAGGTGAGAAAGAGGAGAAAGGAAAAAAAGAGGGAAAAAGAGAAAAAAAAGAGGGAAAAAGAAGAAAAAAAAAGAGGGAAAAAGAAGAAAAAAAGAGGGAAAAAGAAGAAAAAAAGAGGGAAAAAGAAGAAAAAAAGAGGGAAAAAGAAAAAAAAAGAGGGAAAAAGAAAAAAAGAGGGAAAAAGAGAAAAAAAAGGGAAAAAGAAAAAAAAAAGAGAAAAAAAAAAAAAAAGAGGGAAAAAGAGAAAAAAGAGGGAAAAAGAAAAGAAGAGGGAAAGGAAAGAGAATAGAGGAAAAAAGAAAATAGCAAGAATAAGAGTATAAAAAAAAAAGAGAAAAAATGTGAGAAAAGAAAGGAAAAAAGAGAAAGAAGTCATGACACTGAAACTACAAAAGCATACATCCTTTTATAGAATTAACAGAGAATTAAATTCAAAACATTTATAGCTATTTAAAAAAATGAAAAATGCATAAAATTTCTTATATAATATATATATAAATTTCTCTTTCTTTCAGCAAATTTTTAAATAGAAATATATATTCTGAGAAATCCATACACTGAATCACTTTTGATAATCTCAAAGTTTCTCTTTATCAATGACATAATTTTAAAATGAGGTTCAAGACTATTAAATCTGAGGGTGTCTGTACTGATTTCAGTACTCAGTCCCAATGAGTGAAAAATTAATAATTTAGCTAATTCATACATCAAGAACAATTTAATCAATATGGTTATAAAGACTGAACATCCAATCCAACATTTTGACTATTGAAGAAATAAAATAAAAACTTGTTTTTTTATTCCTTTTATATTAACATCCCCGGGTTTTTAATCATGTCACATGAAGATGTAGATGACACTCCATCAATTATAATAAAATTCACTTAAATAACTCACTGACTTCACCAGCGTAACACTGGCAGGGAGAGGGGAGGGCAAATTACACACTGAAAATTTAATGCACACAAGGTCACTGTGGATAAAACATACTTAAAAGAAATTCTCAATTCCAACAGTTTTGTCAAATAATAATGTTTCTATGGTCTAGTTTTGAAAATATACCCATTTGACAGTCAATATGATAAATTGATTTGGGTTTTTTTTTTTACAGCTTAATATTTTGCAGTTATTTAAAGTTAGAAAATATTTTTAGATTGTAAGAATATTTTTGAGATAATGATTTTTACTGATAGAAGTTCTGCTAATTAATCAATAGCTGGGGTGAGAAGAGGTGGATTCATACCTTTCTTGAAGGTATTTGCACATAAGTGCACAGATCCAACTGGAATTGGAACTCAGCTCTCCGATTTCTAATTCCAAGTCATTATCCATTATACCATCTACACACCCAAGCTTACAGCACCTGATATTTCCAAGCAGTGGTCCATGTAAGTGCTGACCAGGCTCAACATTGCTTAACTTCTATGATCGTATGAGAAGTGGTGTTTAGATGTGATATGGCAGTAAGCCTTTACAGTCAATAAAATGGTTTTACAAAAATATTATATATTTATATTAAAAAAAGGAATTAAAGAAGATAAATGATAAAGGAAAGACAAGGTAAGTGTGTTCTGCTTTATTTTAAAAAGTGCTTAGTGATTCAGTATGAAGAGTCATCTGATAATGCACCATCCTTTATTGTCTCGCCTTGCTTCAAGATTTGGTCATGTGATCAGCATGAAGTGGTCAGATTCACCATGACTCATTTCCAACTTCAATGCCAACCAATGGAAAGAAATTAATTATTATTCATTCTGCACCTTCATGTAAGGATGACATTTAAAGATGGATGGTTGAAGTCAGAGTCTCAATCTTGTGCTTTCTCTTTCTCTAACTTCTCACACTACCAACTCATTCTTATTTGCCTCTTTCCTCTTAAACTCTTTCTATCTTTTTCATTGTCAATATTCTCTTTCAATTCTTTCATCCCCACCCTTTCTTTTTTTACCTCTCCCTCTTATTTCTATCTAAGAACATTTTACTACCTTCTCTTGCAGTATTCCCCTTCCTTAATTAGTTTTTTCTTTCTCTTCCAAACTTTCCCCTCTTTAAATTACTCCTCCTCAGCTATTTACATTTCCTGTATTGGAATGGTTGTAGGAGAGATTTACTTAACTGTCCCAATATAAGTATTATCATATCCACAACACGTTAACACTTTGTTCATGAGTGAAAACAGATGAGGACATGCATAATAGCTTGGGAGAAAAAGAAAACACTTTATATACATATTGTCAGAACTTATGACATTATTTTTTCAGGCAGTGAAACAGATACAAATTAGCAGAATATGAAAAGAGAAGTGAATTAAGGTCTTACTTGATAATTTGACTTGGTCACCAGTGTGTCTGCGATTTAGTTTGGCCATGACAAACCAAAAGAAAATAAAAAGCTGAAGTAATCATGCAGCTGCTCTAAGGCATTGGTCCTAACTGGCCAAATGACTTAATTTTCATGCATCTAACCAAACTGTCACATGATACATTTCTCGCCCTTTGATATGTGTGCAAATTACCACTAGTCAAGGGCAGATAACCAAGCTTTGTAATGTTATAATTGGATTCTATTCTTCTACCTAATTGTCTTCAATATCTACTTTTTTTAACTGTTTTTTTTCTTCTATTTTTTTGCCCCATCTTAAGCTCTCCTTCTCTTCAAGCACATACATCTAAAGAAGCATTTGTAATAAAACTTAACATTTCTTATTAATAAAAAAAATGAAAATGAACATAAAAAAAAAATAATTTAAAATTCCCCCTAAAGCAATCAGGTCTGAGGATATATTAATTTTCTATAAAATAGAAAAAGTTTTAATCACAAACTATCAGATTGACAAAAATTCCTGATTTATTAAAACAAAATTAAGTAAAAGAAAAATATTAGCAAAAAAATTATACAATCAAAATATTTTCCCTTGGTAATAAATTGCTAAATTCTCTTCCTAAAGAATTCTTCAAAGGATAAGAAAATTCATTGAAAGCTTCTACTTTCACTTAAGTTCTTGTTGGAAAGAAATTGTCTAAAAATAAATAAAATAAAAATTAGTAAAAATCAAAATCTGGTTATTTTTATGAAAGTGTTTTCAGGGAATAGGCAGATAATAAAAAAGGTCTTCATGTTTACTAAAAACACTTTTCTAACAAGAAGACATTTGTTACACAACAAATTAATACTTTCTATTCATATTAAGGCACTAAGTATTGAATGTACTACGTCAAACTGGTCTGTATTGATACGTATTATTTGATCTCTTTGAAGGAATCATCTGATATATCAAATTACATATCAGCTGATCCAACATAATCTTTCAGGTATATGGGCTGTGCTTTTGCTTTCTTATATATATTCAAACATCGTATTGATATTTTCTTACATAAAATCAATTTTTATCACAAGTGATAATATACAAGTTATTAATGAATCATTTTTTTTATTCCTGTTTAAATTCAAACAGAAGCAATTTATCAGATTTTTCAATCACAATTAAATAGTTTCAGTTAATACAAAGAAAACTGAGGTTTTTGGATCATTTTCTACAAAAATCATTAAAACTTCATTGATTAATGGTTTTATTTGATCTCCAGCCTTGTTTTCTAAATTGAAATCTGTTTACAATTTTTATAAAACTAAAAATTTATTAATTAGTAAAGAATACTGTCCTTAAATATAAAATTCTTCCTCACAGCTTCTGGTGTATTTTGACATACAACTATAAACTTGAAAAATCATGAGTTGAAAGTTTTTCCACATTTTCATATTTGTAAAAACATGTAGCAAATATTAAATATAATGAAATAAAATTTCTGCTGAATAATTTAAAAAATGTTCCTTAAACATATCAATCATTTTATTTTTATAAAGAAATTGTAAAAAAATCTTAAAATAAAATTAGCAACCTATGTTGAACAATCTAGTCAACTATTAATATATTCATTAAAAAATACCTAATATATTCATTAATATAGTTAAAGACATAGAAAAACTCTGCCTAAGCACAGTAAACACTCATAAAAATAACCAAGAGATTAAATAGAGATGTGAAATGATAAATCTACTATTCATCCATACATCAAATATTGCTGCCATATCTGGTCTGGAGCTTGTGTAATATATCAAAAGATTCTTGACAAAATCCAAAGAAGGGTCTGTAATGTTATCAATCCTGATCTGGCATCTCAACTTCAGTCACTTTCCTACTACCATGATGTAGTTTCTTTTCACTTTCAGTAAGTGCTAGCATCTTAGTGACATTATCACCTTGCTTGAGTTAAATGATTAAAAAACAAAAAAAGGTTTATGCAAATGGGTGCTATAATTAACTAAGAAGTCCCAACTATGTTCATTTGTAATTCAAATTTTAATTTTTTTTAAAGAAAGTTGTAAACTCTGCAGCACTATCTCAGTGTCATAATTCATTTGCATCTCCCTATAGCATCTCATTTAAAGCATCATGTTATAAAAAACAAATTATATTGTTAATACAATAATAATAGACAATGTTTTTATCTTGCACTATCCTGGATTAAAAACTTCATGAAACAAATTTATTCAATCAATATTAAATTAAATGCTTATTATTATAGATTGATTTATTCAAACTGGTGTCCCCATCTTGGTTGTTAAAGTCCCATTTTGACTATTGTACATTCCAGCATTGGTTAAGTACATGGAAGTTAAAAGGTTGTGTTTTTGTTTGCATATTAAGTATAGTTGTATGTTCAATATTTAAACAATTAAAGAAGTATACAAAAATTTCTACCATGTACCATTTAGCTTCCCTTTTTTATAAAAACAAAGTTGTCAATGTCTCTTGGGTACGTCCATTTTCTTTTTGGTCCAGAAGTAAGTATAATCATCATATTAATGGTAGAGTTCAAATCAATCTTGAGTAGAGTTGGAACAACCAAAGTAAAATTTGCACTTTATTGTTTGAAGGTTTAAACATGGTTATGGGTAGTCTGTTTTCTTTTTCTTGGTCCAAAAGTTAAGGTAATAAGTATTAGAATTGTTACAATGGTTGCGCTCAAGTTAAGAGAAAGTTGATTTACTTCATAGTTTTGGAAGACACATGTGAGTGCTATGTGCTGGAAAATGGGAAGAGAGTTCAGTTGTCAGTGAACCATCGAAACTAACATTCCCCAGAGGGAACATAATTATCATGTTGTGCTACAGGAAAATGTTTTTTTATAGACTTAACAAGTACTGCCTAACAGCATTTGATGAAAGCAAGTGGGGTAATTATAATTCTGGTTCCTTTACTCTTAGCATCATGGGAAAAATGTGTTTTTTTTTTTTTTATCCATTATTATTATCTTATTTATCAATTTTATTTCATTTTCCCACAAGTATATGCAGTTAACTTGTGGTCATGAGTTCACATCCCTGGTTCAAACAGTGGAATTAATATCCTTTGGTTCAGTAGAAAAAGCAAAAGTGGCATTACAATAATAAATTAACTAAGAATAAGTAATTGATACAAGTTATTCCCAAGCATGTAGAGCAGAATTCAAACCTTCTACCCCTATGAATTCTAAAAAGAATTTGGTCTGGAATTGGAACAAGTTTATAAAATATAAGGCACCTGAAGAAAGCCAAAGAATAAAATGGCCAAAATGTTTTGATTCTAACAGCCAAGATGATCATAATGAAAAATCACCATCTCAGAAATTTAGATAGAAATCATTAAATACCTCTATCCATATAGTTACATGCATGCATTTTTATCAATATTCATGCAGTTGCAAAACCTATATTTTTAGTCTGTTAAATTTTCTTTTAATTACAAGTGTTGCAATGAAGACAGTTTTCTTAACAGTGAAGGTCATCCTGAATGTATTTCAAATATTGCTTAAACTACTGAATCTTTCATATACTTGATATTGTCAAAAGGCATTTCAGCTGATTCAGTCTTCAAGCTTTTTCACACTTGGGGGAACATAAAAAAATGGGGAAATCTTATATAGCAGACCATATCTGAAAGGAGAAAGGTTCATATTACTTTCTCTGGGATGAGAGCCAGATAACTGACAGGGAACATTGTTGTAATTTGAGGAAGTTGAAGGAAGCAACATACATAATGCTTTGGTGAGGCTCATATAGATTTCAACACAATATAATTTTCCTTGCTTAACAGTTTGGTATGAACCAAATACTTGGGTGGTGGCATGATATACCTATCACTGCTAAAATGAATTGGATTGGTATATTCAAGACCACTTTTCTTATAAAAAAGTTTTTTTCCATCTCACTGAGTATACACCTGGCGAGGACCAAAGAATAGAGCATCCAAAACATCTTTTACCAACATCAAATATACAAAGAGGATCATTTTTTTCCAAACAATATAACACTGAGAGCTTGATAATTTGATGGATTGATTGATTATGGCTTCTGTGGGTTATTTACAGACAAAACATATTTTGGATTGTAAGAATAAATCTTTTTTTTTGCAAGTCCAGAGCCCC